AAAAAAAAAAAAAAAAAAAGGAAGAAAGAAAGCGTCTCAACCTACAGTTCAAAGAAATTCTTCCTGTCATTTAACTCTGTCTGTAAAGTGGGTCTAATATATCTCCTTCACAGAGCTTTTGTGGGTATAAAATAGTAAATACAAAATTTCTTTGTAATTTTAAAGCTTGATAAAGGTGTTAGGTGGTATTGATGGTAGGTGGTAATGATGTGAAGAACCCCTAGGATAACAGGTATCTTTGTGCTGAGGAGTTTAGTTTAGAAAGGGAGAGAAATCTAAGTGTCAAGAAAGAAGTGTTTCTTGTGTTTTTGCTATTGGGTGTGTGTGCTCACCAGAGAGACAAGGTGGGAATGAGAGAGACAAGGTGGCAGTGAGAAATCACACACATACACACACCACCCCCTGCCCCAGGGAGCTAGCCATGCCACTATCCCTTCCCCTCCATTCTTCCCTCGGGAGTTTGGCCATGTACACATGCCTGCCCTGATTTTCAAGCCGCCAGGTCTGGGACTCAAACCACACAGAGTCAGCTCTGTGAGATCTAGCACCTCAACCTCCACACCACCTGCTGCCCCAAAAGTGAGAGCTTTTTTTATCAACATTTTTTAGTAGTGTTGATCCCACTTCTCTCTTTCCCCGCTACTTCCAATAACTGCCTCAATGTTCCCATATCAAATTAAACCTCTGTCTCTTGCAGCCCTTGCAAAATGCAGCTTATAGCAGAGAGGATCTAGTGTATTTTAAGGCAATGGCAGATTTGCTTAGACTCCCTACAGGTTGAAAGACTATATAGGAATGTGACCAACAACCTCTTAAGCCCTATCTAATTCCAAACTATGAAGAAGCTGGGTTATAAGTGTTTGTTATGAAAATAAGGTAACTTGAAGCTTGGGTCATTTGTATTAGGCTTTATCTCAGTCTATCTTTGCAAGGTTTTCTCAGTCAGTATCTTTGGGGACACATAAAAACCATGGGAAATACGCTCTTACACATAACAATAGATTTTAGCATTAAAATCAGAGATGTCAAATGTATGAATAGCATGTAAAATGATTGATATTTTTATATTGAAAAAATTGAGACCTATGGTAGCTCACCCAAGAGAGGCCCAGCCACTATGATGCAGCAGTAACACAACTCTGCAAGGCTGGAAGCTGGATGACTGACGATGGGTTCAGATCCCCAAATCATCCTGAAAATATGCTGGGCTCACTCAGGTAGGTACTCAGAATCTGAAAAGCTAGAGAAAGGGGACTGCAGCATGACGAGAGATGAAGTCCTATCGAGGATACTTCTCTCTCTTTTCTCTTTCTCTCTCTCCCATGCACACACAGGCATTATCATAAAAAAAAAATTTCCAAAAGAAATGAAAACTTATGTCCACGCAAAAGCTGTCACATTGGCCCACTGGTCATGTGTTCTGAACTGCAGTGCTGGAAACCACAATCCCACTGCAGGTTGGGGTCTCAAGCCTGGTCAACTTGAAACACACTGGGCAAATATCTAAGATCCTGATCAGCTAGAGGGCTAGGGAAGAGAATTGTGCAACTCTCTCTGTTTCTCCCTCTGTCTCTCTCTGTCTCTCTCTCTCTCAGCTCACACACACTCTGTTGTGAATTTTTCTCAAAAAAATCACTTTAAAGGTTATAGCTGCTTTACTCATTAATTGTCAAAAACCAGATATATCTCAAATGTATTTTCATTGGTGAGTGAATACACAAACTATGTTACATTCATACAATGGAATGCTACTCAGCTATACAAAGAAATAGCTATTGATAAACACAACATGGAAGACCTTAAATACAAGATACCAGCTTGATATAGGAACCTAGATCTCAAAAGGCTGCACGCACAGTATTTCATTCATATAACATTACAGAAAACTATAGGGAAGAAAAAATCAGTAACTCTCAGATAATGAGATGGAGGGAGGGGCTGAGCACAACAGGACACAAAGAATCTTGGGGGGGTGTGATAGGACAATTTGTAATTGTAATGGTTATTGAATACGCTTTTGTCAAAGCTCTTATGACAGTACTCTAAGAGGGAATTTTACCATTTAATTTAAAAAATAAATGCATAAAAATAAAGTAATATAGGTCTATGATAATTTTTTTGGAGAGGTTTTTGCTATAGGGCATGTGCGTTTGCCACAAAGACAGAGAGAGACAGAGAGAGACAGAGAGACAGAAAGCGAGAAATCACTCCCCAGGGGGGATGGCCACACTGCAATCCCTTCTCCTCCATTCTCCTTTTGGGATCTTGGGCACGCACGCACACGTGCCCGGCGTGAGTTTAAGCCATCAGGTCTGGGACTTGAACTGTGGTGACTACATGGGAGTTCAGCGACATAGCCATTACGCTAACTGCAGGTCCCTCTACTTAGTGAATTTCTAAACCCTTTATCACTACCGTCAATCTTTTTCTGGAAATGGCTATTTTATAGATAAATCAATAAACGTATGTGATCTTGTGCTTTCATATTTAAGATCCTAAACTAAGGACTCTCTTAGTATTCCTTTAGAATGCCTCGATTCCATGGACTCAAACCACAGTCGACTACAGGGAAGTCCACTGACATGGCCATTAGGCCATCTGCTGGTCCCTAGGTCTATGATAAATTTTTAAAACATAGGGAATTCAATAAAAATAATCTCCTTCAGGCCAGCAGATGGCATAGCAGTTACATTGTTGGACTCCCACATGGCCAACTGCAGCTTGAGTCCTGGACCTGATGACTTGAAATTCACACCAGGTACATGTGCGACTTTGCCCAAGATCATGGGAAGAGAATGGAGGAGAAGGGATTGCAGCGTGGCAATCCCCCCTGGGGAGTGACTTCTCTCTCTCTCTCTCTCCAGAGAGTGCGCATGCCCTAAAGCAATAACTTATACAAAAAGAAAAAGAATCTCCCCCATGTCTTTGTGGTGATAGAGCCACAGTTTGATTGCAGTGATGGTCCTGTAAGTCTACACATGTGATAAGATGACATAGAACTACATACACACACATATTATACAAATGTCGATTTCTTGCCTTTTATATTGTACTGTAGTTAAGATGTAACCATTGGAGGAAACTGAGTGAAGGGTATGGGGGTCTTTCTGCAGCTTCCTGTTATTCTATAGTTTTTTTCCAAGTCTCTCTCAAGCAAACTTCCAGACTCTAACCTGCTCCCAGAGGTAAACAGTATTATAAGTTTCTTGTGTATCCTCTGCATTTTAAGCTAATATTTGTATATAAGCATATGTATGTTTACATATACATATACATTTATACATAAATACTTTTAATACAAATGGTGGCATATGACACACACACTTCTCTGCTCCTAGCTATTTTTCTGATTACCTGAGACTCTTTGATATCACGTGTACCACACCTCATTCTTTTTTCTGCTGCATGGTATTCCACTGCACAGTGGTATCATTTATTTCAACAGTTTCTGTTGACGGACATTGAGATCTTAACAAGAAATTAAACTTACTAGGAAATTTTAGCAAGATAAAAGGTCAGCTGAGATTGAGACAAAACACTAAAAGTTTTCACAGATTTCAGTCTTGCTTCCAGAAAATATTTTGACCAGAAGGGGGAATGCAAGTGGCAGGAGAACAGGCAAAACACTGGGAAAATTCCCAGGCCAATGAGGAGGCAGTGGAGGTAGGAATTACTGCCGGGTAGGAGGTAGGAGTTCGAGGAGGGCGCCCTACCGCTAGAGTAGGAGGCCATGCTCCAAGCCAAGCCTACCCTAGGCTGCTGCTCAGATACCGAAGTGTGTCCAGATTATACGCACGGTGCGGAGATGTTTGGCCATCTTCAGCCTCCCGGGGGGAACCCCTGTCCAGGAGGGCTTTGAGCCCCGACTGCCTCCAACCCACGCGCACAGGGGGCGTACACGTGGTGACCTGCCCCGGGCAGTGTTCCTGGCTCCGGCTCCTCCTCCCTCCAGCTCTCAGCTTTCTGCAGTATCACGTGCAGCCGCGCCGGGTGCAGGATGGCGGCTGCGGCGGCGGCGGCAGCAGCAGCGGTGGGTGTCGGACTCCGGGACTGCTGCAGCCGCGGCGCTGTACTCCTGCTCCTCTTCTCCCTGTCTCCTCGACCCCCGGCCGCTGCTGCCTGGCTGCTAGGCCTGCGACCAGAGGACACCGCTGGAGGCCGCGTGTCCCTGGAGGGGGGCACTCTGCGCGCGGCGGAAGGCACCAGCTTCCTCCTGCGCGTCTATTTCCAGCCTGGGCCCCCAGCGCCAGCGGCGCCGGTGCCCGCACCCACCGTCTCCCCTGGGGAGAACGGCACCGGCGACTGGGCTCCACGGCTTGTATTTATCGAAGAGCCCCCGGGCGGGATTGGTGTGGCGCCCAGCGCGGTCCCCACGAGACCCCCGGGACCGCAGCGCTGCCGGGAGCAGAGCGACTGGGCGTCCGACGTGGAGGTCTTGGGACCCCTACGCCCCGGGGGCGTGGCGGGCTCGGCCCTGGTGCAGGTGCGAGTGCGGGAGCTGCGCAAGGGCGAGGCGGAGCGGGGAGGCGCGGGCGGTGGCGGGAAGCTCTTCTCGCTGTGCGCCTGGGATGGGCGCGCTTGGCACCACCACGGCGCCGCCGGCGGCGTCCTGCTGCGCGGCCCCCCTCTACGGCCCAGGCGGGGACCTGCTGCCCCCCGCGTGGCTGCGAGCGCTCGGGGCGCTCCTGCTGCTCGCCCTGTCTGCTCTGTTCAGCGGCCTGCGCCTGAGCCTGCTGTCGCTGGACCCGGTGGAGTTACGGGTGCTGCGGAACAGCGGCTCGGCCGCCGAGCAGGAGCAGGCGCGCCGCGTGCAGGCTGTGCGCGGCAGAGGGACCCATCTGCTCTGCACCCTGCTCCTGGGCCAAGCCGGAGCCAACGCGGCCCTGGCGGGCTGGCTGTACGCCTCGCTGCCGCCGGGCGTCGGGGTCACGGGGGAAGACTACAGCGAGGCAGGGGTTCACTTCCCGTGGCTGCCCGCGCTCGTGTGCACGGGCGCCGTGTTCTTGGGCGCCGAGATCTGCCCTTACTCGGTGTGTTCGCGGCACGGGCTGGCCATCGCCTCGCACAGCGTGTGTCTGACCAGGCTCCTGATGGCGGCGGCCTTCCCAGTGTGCTACCCGCTGGGCCGCTTGCTGGACTGGGCGCTGCGCCAGGAGATCAGCACCTTCTACACGCGGGAGAAACTGCTGGAGACGCTGCGGGCCGCGGACCCTTACAGCGATTTGGTGAAGGAGGAGCTCAACATCATCCAGGGAGCCCTGGAGCTGCGCACCAAGGTGGTGGAGGAGGTGTTGACCCCTCTCGGAGACTGCTTCATGCTGCGCTCTGACGCGGTGCTCGACTTCGCCACCGTCTCTGAGATCCTGCGCAGCGGCTACACTCGCATCCCAGTATACGAGGGCGACCAGCGGCACAACATTGTGGACATTCTGTTTGTCAAGGACTTGGCCTTCGTGGACCCCGACGACTGCACCCCGCTCCTCACCGTCACTCGCTTCTACAACCGGCCCCTGCACTGCGTCTTCAATGATACCCGGCTGGACACGGTGCTGGAGGAGTTTAAGAAGGGTGAGCACTGGTCTGTCTCTTTCCCCAACTCCTAGAGCCTTCCCTGTTTGGCCTCACGAAGTTAGTACCCTTTCCTAACTTCGTGAGACTTCAGGTACCCAAAGAAATTTGACTCCTGTAGTACCAGAAACTAAGGAGGACCTTACCTATTTTCACCTCGAGAACCTTCCACCCTTGCAGCTGACTTAGGGTCAGGTCTCTTTGCCTCCCCTTAGCTCACAAGATGCACTGTATTCCCCATTCATTCCATTCCACCAGTGTTGTAGGCCAGGTACGGTGTAGGCCAGACTCGGACAGCTCTTGGAGAGCTCCGTGTAGCTTCCCACCTATTGAGGGGGTTCCCATAACAAGCAGCCTTTGCTTTAAACAACTCAGCTCTGGGAGCTCTCTCCAGAGCAAGCTTCTTTGCTGGACAGCTCCCACTGCTGACAAGGACTTCCTTATTGGAGCAGAAAGTTAGTGTCCAGAGCCTCCTACTTCTCTGCCCTGTGAGTCACTCCGAGGAAGTCCCAGACACCTTACAGTCGTCTTCATATTTGACTTCCCAATAACTACTCATTCAACACGTATCAAGGACTCAGGGTGGGGATTAAATGTTGGAGAAGACAGTGGAACCCTTACTGTTCTGTCAACGGTGGTAGATTTGAGTAGAATAGAGTAGATCTGAAACTGCGGAAACATTCTGGGGAGAGGAGACCCTAGAAAATGTACACATCCAAATGAATGGGGTTTCTTTCAGTGCACTCAGCACCCTCCCCACCCCCAACCTTGAGGTCGATGTCATGTATGTAACATGTTGATTTCATTACTGGACTCTGTCTTTGGAAACTGCCTTAACTGGAGTTAAGTAAAAATCATTGAGAAAAATAGAGAGAATCAGCCTGGATACTTTAGAATCCTCTTGGCATGACACCTTGGCTGGTCCTCTAGTTCACTAGATTTGGCCCAGAAAAGTGCTTGATTGTTTTTGGAAATCAAATGTATTTTCAAGAGTCACCACTGAAAACATTCAAAAAAACTATTTCAAAGACCCTGAAAGCAACTCCAGACATAATTTGAGAACAGTGACATGGTTAGAATAAGCGTAATACTTTTCAAAATGGCTATTTTGAAGGAGGCACTCAACTGTACACATGAGTTGGTATGTTTATTAAAAACAAAGAAAAGCAAAAACAAAAACTCTTGCCCTGAGACTCAGACTTCAAATGTAGCTTCCCTAAAGGACTTTTATTCGTTCATTTTTAATACTTTTTTCTGTTCGTTTCACAAAAATTCAATCTCATCACCTTATCATCACAGGTACTCTTTTGGTTTTTAAAGCCTAAAGAAATCTGGAGTCGGGAACCAGCAGTTAGCGTAATGGCTATGTCGCTGGACTCCCACATAGTCGACCGCGGTTCGTGTCCCGGACCCGGTGGCTTAAAACTCACGCCGGGCTCGTGTGCGTGCGTGCCCAAGATCCCAAAAGGAGAATGGAGGAGGAGGGATTGTGGTGTGACCATCCCCCCTGGGGGGTGATTTCTCGCTTTCTGTCTCTATGTCTCTCTCTGTCTGTCTGGCGAGCGCACGCGCCCTATAGCGAAAACCTCTAAAAAAAAAGAAATCTGGAGTCTTTCTGCTGCTATGCTATTTTGAAATTGTTTTAAATATAAAAACATAGCCTGAGAAGGGGAAGAAAATCTAAAAGCTGCTTTCAGTCTCAGAAATGGGCGGAGAAATGGAGCCCTCAATTCTGTGTTGGTATCAGAAGGGACGGAACTGTGTAGGTGGAAGTTATTTTAGCCCAACCTGGGCTACTGTCTCAGCCCCTTCTGTCCATCTCTCCTTAATATTTGCATTAACGATTCCTGCCAAGCTGAGGGCTGAGGTTCGTTCCCACTCTTAGAATTACGTTTACATTCTGAATGCCCTGAGGAAGTACGGTCTGGTGTCTGAGCATAAAAACTGTGGACAATGTGCCAGGGCTGCCATAATGAAATACCACAGACTGAGTGGCCAAAACAGCAGAAATGTACTTTCTTATAGTCTGGAGGCTAGACGTCTTAAGACTGAGGTGTGGGTAGGTTTGGTGTCTTCTGAGACCCCTCCCCTTGTCAGTCACCTCCTGACCTGTCCTTACATGTTCTTCCTTCTTGGTGTCTTCTTATGTGTCCAAATTTCTTCTTTTCTTAGGATGCCAATCAGATTGGATTAGGGCCCACCCCACAGCCTCATGTTAACTTATTCACCTCTTATGTGTGATAGTTAAGATAAAGAGCAGTTCCACACCTGACCTCACATGAGGACAGATCCTAGTTAAAATGCTGCAACACAAAAATATTCTATGAAATTACTTTCAGGCTGTGTGTATAAGGTGTCTATGAATCATTAATGAATTTCATGTTGGTGAAGTTAGTGTCTCATGGCCTTGTGCTGCCAGATGACATTTTTAATGAAACTCTTACATACTCATTCATTCATTCGCTTAGTATTTATTGAACATTTAAACAGCTTTACACAGCAGGAGACACAAGAAGTCTGCCCCCAGGAACTTAAAGTCTACAGGACATACAGTGTTCCAACAAGAGCAAACTACAGAGGCAAGCTTGCTTGCTTGCTTGCTTGCTTGCTTGCTTGCTTTCTCTTTCTTTCTTTTTCTTTCTTTCTTTCTTTTTCAATTTTACCAGAGAGTGCATACACCAGAGAAAGATATAGAGATATAGGGAAAACAAGAAAGCACCCTCAATGGGCAGTGGTCACCCAGCTACTACTATCCATTCACCTCCATTGTCTCAATCCACTGACTCAAACCACATGGTCCACCATGTGGGATCCAGCTGCCTAACCACCATGGGCTGGCCCATGGAATTGTGTCCCTTTTCTTTCTTTCTTTCTTTGATTTTCTTATTGTTTTTACATTCAATCACTGTACATCTTTATAGCATACAAAATGGATTTTTCCAACATGAACACATTGTATATTTGTCCAGTCAAAGACATTTGGAATTGTGTCTTATTAACCTCTGTATCCCCAGCACTTTGCCTTGCACATGGTAACCTGTTCAGAAAAGTTGATATTGATCTGAAATGAGTCCCTGCATAGCATTTCCAAATCTGGTCTAGAAAAAGCTCATTAGTGTTCTATTAATAGTTAATTTGCAGTTAGACCGTTCATTAAAGAGAAATAGGCCATTAGAGTGAACACATGGCAAGAAAATAATTTTCTTCAGAGCCTTGCTACTTTCCAAAGTGTGGTATGTAAATCAGCAGCCTGAGTCTCATCTGGGAGCTTATTAGAAATGCTGAATTTGGGATCAGCAGTTGGCATAATGACTATGTTGCTGGACTCCCATGTAGTTGACCGCGGTTCAAGACCCGGACCCAGTGGCTTAAACTCACACCGGGCACATGTGCATGCATACCCAAGATCCTGAGATGGGATGGAGGAGAAGGGATTGTGGTGTGGCCATCCCCCTTGGGTGGTGATTTCTTGCTTTCTGTCTCTCTGTTTCGTTCTGTCTTTCTGGTGAGCGCATGTACCCTATAGCAAAAACTTCTCCAAGGGAAAAAAAAAGAATAAAAATAAAGAAATGCAGAATTTTAGGACCAGCAGATGGCATAATGATTACGTCACTGGACTCCCACATGGCTGACCATGGTTCAAGTAGGGGGTTGAGGACTGCAGCCTGGTCATCCCCCCAGGGAGGTGATTTCTTGCTTTCTGACTGAGCTCTCTGTCTCTTTCTTTCTGTCTCACTTGCAAGTACACATGCCCTTTGGCAAAAATCTCTCTTAAAACAAAAAATTCTCTCTTCTTCTCTCTCTTAAGAAAGAAAGAAATAAATAAAAGAAAAAGAAATGCAGAATTTCATGCTCTACCCTAAATCCACTAAATGAAAATCTGCAGGTGAATGAAAGCTCCAGGTGGCTCATATGAACATTAAAGTTTGAGAAGCCTTGCTTTTGGATAACCTTGTTAACAGTGCTGGGTCGATCTACTTAATGTATATTATATAATATATTATAGATTGGGTATTCCTTAACCAAAGTGCTTGGGGCCAGACCTGTTTCAGATTTGGGATTTTTCAGATTTTTGGAATACTTGCATTTACATAATGAGATATTTCAGAGATGGAACCCAAGTCTGAATGTGAGCTTCATTGTTTCATAGACAGCGTATACACATTGCCTGAAGGTAATTTTATGTAATATTTTCATACTGCAGAATTTTGGCTGTGATCTGCCATCACGTGATGTCAGATGTGGAATTTTCCACTTCTGGCATCATCGTGTTGGCACTGAGACAGTTTTGAATGTTGTAGTATTTTGGATTTTGAATTCTCAGATTAGAGATATTCAATATATATAAGAAATAACTAACAAAGTAGAAGTTCTCAGGATCCAAGCCATATAATACCATGGTCCTTTTCTTTTTTCTTTCTTTCCTTTTTTATTTTACTTGCCAAAAGACGTGTAGACTTATCAGAGAGAAATAGAAATAGGCAGAGCAGGGAAAAAGAACCCCTCCCCACCCAGTGAGGCATACCCACACTACAATCCCTTCTCCTCCATTTTGTCATCCTGTCAGGATTTGAGGTGCACACACACACACACACACACATCCAGCATGTTTTTCAAGCTGCCAGGGATGGGATTTGAACTTACAGTTGGCCATGCAGGATCCAGCTCCTTTAACTATTAGGCCATGGGGCCAGCCCTACAGTGGTCTCTTTCTTTCTTTCTTCCTCTCTTTCTTCCTTCCTTCCTTTCTTTCTTTCTTTCTTTTTCTTTCTTCCTTTTAAGAGAGGTTTGTTTTGTTTTTGTTTTTGTTTTTGTTCTTTTTTTCCCCTATATGGCACGTGCATTCACCAGAGAGAGAGAAAATAAGAAAATCACCGCCCCCCAGGAGGTTTGGCCATGCCATAATCCCTTTTCCATCCTCCTCTTGGGATTTTAGGCATGCACGCACACAATCCTGGCATGAGCTTCAAGCCATCAGATCCAGCACTTGAGCCATGATC